CAAGCTACCATATTAGAGAAGATACTTGTGAATCATATATCTCATAAGAGGGTAATATCCAAAATATATAAAGAACTCATACAACTAAACAAAACAAAACAAACAAACCTGATTAAAAAATAGGCAGAGGAGCTGAACAGACATTTTTCCCAAAGATATCAGAAGGCCAACAGGCACATGAAATGATGTTCAACATCACTAATAATTAGGGAAATGCAAACCAAAACCACAGTGAGCTACCACCTCATTCTCATTATAGTGGGTACCTTCAAAAAGGCAAGAAATAACAAATGTTGGTGAGGATGTGGAGATAAGGAAAGGAAACCCTCATACACAATTCGTGGGAATGTAAATTGCTGCAGCTACCATGAAAGTGGGAGATTTCTCAAAAAATTAAAAATAGAACTACCATATCATCCAGCTGTTTGACTTATGGGTATTTATCCAAAGAATATAAAAATACTAATTTGAAAAGATACATGATTACAATAGCCAAGACAGGGAAACAACCTAAGTGCCCATCGGTGAATGAATGGATAAAGAAAATGTATGTGTGTGTGTGTATACATACATATACACAATGGAACACTGACTTAGCTATAAAAAAAAAAAAATCTTGGCATTTGCAACAACATGGATAGACCCTGAGGGTATTATGCTTAGTGAGGTAAGTCAGACAAAGACAAATACCATGTGATTTCACTCAAATCTTAATATTACATAAATAAACAAACAAATAAATAAACAAAGCAAACGAAACCAAACACATAGATACAGAGAACAGAGCAGGGGCTACCAGAGGGGAAACCGGGTGGCAGGAAAATGAAATGGGTTAAGGGGTCAAGCTGTATGGTGACTGACAGAAACAAAGCCCTCGGTGTAGTTACACAGAAGCCAAAATACTGTTGTACACACAAAAAATAAAGTTTTTTAAATAAATAAATAAATAACCTGAATAAGAATTGAAATTTGGGTTACAAAATATTTAAACACTGAAAATTGAGGACTCATTACTTATGTTTTGAAATGCATGAGGCTCACTGCCCAGCATTTTTTACGGGTTAGTTTTTACAGAGAAATTTAAAAATTTTCATTCTTGCTCAAATGACAGACCTACCTAGAAATCAGGGTTTTTTTTTAATGTATATATAACATACACACACACCCTTTTCTCCTTACTCTCAAAAAGCTGTCTCTAAAAGTTCAGCTAAAAACCACAAATTGCTCAGACAAAACTAGCCCAAACAGGATCCTTTTCTTCATTAGCCAGAGACAATAATAAACTACATGCGTTTGTATACTCCTGTAAATCATATGACACACTGGTCTTACAAGACATTCAGATACATGGCATACAACCCACATTCGCCTGTACAAGCTACAAAAATGCACCTCATCTATTCACTTGAGAGCTTTCTTCATCAATTACCAGGTGAGTTTCTCCTTTTAGCAAAGTCATAACGCCTTTGCCTAACGTGACTGATATGAACTTGTCATTTCCAGATACAGGACATTGGTCTATGATTACAGTTTTCAATGGGAGCAGAACCGTCCACCAGGAGGCATTCTGGAAATCTGAGGAGGTATTTCGGTCCATCTCAAGTATTAGTGGAACTTACTGACGTTAAGTGAGAGGACAGCAGGAATGCTAGGCTACACATCCCACAACGTGCAAGGCAGTCCCACACAACCACCTTGTCCTAATTCCTGCCTACCTTTTCAAACGTCCTGAAAAACATGCTTCCATGAGTTGTTCACATCCCAGACAGTAATCTGTGGTGATTTATCCCAACAAGACAACATACCTCAATCTGTGTGCATCGTCAGCTATCTTGTTCACAGTATTTCTCACTGGCTTTGCTTCCTAGTGCTGTCATGACCAAGCATTTACATATTTATCTGACATGTTACAGTTATTATACTAATTTTTTTGGAGATTATTTCTGTAAATAAGGTATGTCTATGATTTTCACATCAGGATACTATGGAAGCATTACAAAATATTTCCTACAAAAAATACTGTGGGTCTGAGAATTAAGAACCACTTTTTTAGATTAATTTATCTTGCTTTCAATCATTAAGATTTATGTAACTGTCCATTTTTATATGGACTCTGTAAGACAGATTTACACAGAGACCTGGATTTTGTCTGGCTCTGCTCCCATGTGTCCCTGAGCAAACTGTTCACTTTCTTTTCTGTGGACTTTAATTTATCTGTCTATAACAAAGAATTAAATAAGCCATATCTCCTCCAGACATTTTTATTCTGGTATCTTAAATCCTAAACATTTTCAAATGTCCTTAGCCATCTTATGATTGAAAAGTCAATCATAAATATTCTTGGCTATTCACTCATAATTTTGATCTGTAACATTACCATCAGCTCCAGCAAATAATTCATCTCCAATTCTGTGAATACTAAAAATAGGAATTAGATCAAGGAGAAATTCAAAAAGGCTATCAAATGGAGACACAGGGCCATGCCAGACACACTAAGTAGAAATTTAAACAAACAGGTTTATTCCTTCCTATAGTACAGCTGCTCATCAGACCCTCTGGAATCACCCTTCCTGTCAAGTGAAAAACTGTATGGTAGGACAGGAAGTCCAAAGCCAAGACTGCGAGTAGAATGAAAAAGTCATCCATTGGCCAGACCCTGAATGAGATTTCAAAGGGCATTTGGCCATTCTTTGCTCCAAACTGCCAACTTCCGTCCTCTAAAATGAGACAACTTTTGCTTACATTTGCAGAGAACTCAATTAGCATAATTTTTAATGCTCCTTCCTGTTTATTTTCTTTGCTATCATTGACTCTTGTGTAAAAACTAACCCCCTGAAAAACCTCAGGTACAGAAAAGGTAGGTAGCAGGTCCAGAGTCCCCATGTCTACCAGTGGAAGAGTCAAGATTCGTATTTAAGTCTCCTAAGGTTCACAACCCTCGTCTCTCTCTCCCACATCCCCTCTCTGATAAAGCTGTCTCGCATCTCAGTAAAGGCACATGGGAACTGAGAGAAATTAGGCTTGGACTTAAAGAAAGCATTAGAAACAGAGCTTCAAACAGGGATCCTAGAAAGCAAGTAATAATCAACTGCATTAATGTAATTTAATGGGAGACTAATCAAGCATTTTTATGTTGATACAATCTTTTAAATTAAAATGGCATTAAGCCTATTAAGAACATATGGAAAATCTGGAAGAGTACATGCATATTTTGCAGCTTACATTTTAAAGAAAGACTTGGGAAACTTTTGTTGTATTTGTTTGCTCTTTAGGAATCAAAAAAAAAAGACACAATAGCTTCTGAGGAAATGAATAAATTATTAAAAGTACTAAGATAAACTCATTTCATCCCTTGCAAACGATGCACATGATCGCTGCTGTCAGCAGCCAGAACATGCACAGGATCCTGAGGGTCCGGCACAGCACCACCGGCATCACGGAGCCACAGCTGGCAGTCTCCCCTCACCTGTCGAGCGTAGTGCTCGATTTCCTCCGCTCTGGCCTGATACCAGTCCGTCACCTTCCCCACTGCAAGCTGGCTGGTCCTGTACGGCAGTAACTCGGGCTGCGCAGCATACAGGAACTCACTGTCATCTGGAAGACTCGGCTCAACCACCTTTCTGCCGAGCACAAAAAGAACAGTTAGTAACTGACTGAGATGCTGGGGGAAATTATAAATTTGTGAGAGAGGGAGACAGAGACAGAGAGATGGGGAGAGAGGAATTACTGAGACTGGCAGCACGTATGTATATGTGGGTGTGTGCGTGTGGGTTGTCCTGTATGTATGTGCACGCTTACAAGATAAATGGGACATTTTTTGGAGGCTTAATTTATTTTCCTATTAGTTTTCCCAACTTAAAAAAAATCAGAATGAACAATAAATCAAAAAGAGTATGCCACAAATCAATCAAACAAGTATTAAATAAAACCAGAATCACCCTAGGAAGCGTTTACAAAATGCACATGGCTGGGTGCCTGCCACATACCTACTAAATCACAATCACTTGTGATGGCCAGCCAGGCCTTGTTTAGTGAAAAACACCCCCAGGTGATTTTGATTCAAATATAAATTAAGAAGCCTTGTTTTGCATGTTCATAATAATAAGAGGAAATATACCTTATTTATGTTGATAATATAACTTTAGTGGGTGTCAGCAACATAGTAATGCACTGACATTTGCAAAACAAGAAACTAACAGCATCTAGAAGAATGTACACAGGGAGCACATCACAGGGACCACAAATTATGAGAAGCTTTTATGAGGATGGCCCTGGCCAATCGCCTTCACAGTTAAGGACTAAAGAAAAAAATTACACTAAGATATTTCAGATAGAAATAGGGGGAAAGGCCATGTTCCATCAGGGACATTCACTCATCTAAAGCAAGTCAGTAGTAGATGACAAGTGGTATAATTGTTACTATTATAAGGCAATGGGCTTTGGAGTCAGAACTGAAGTGCAATTCCATCCCTGAAAGCTGAGAAACCTTGCATAAACTACTGAGTTAATAGTAGTCTAAGATTTCATCTTATTCATATAAAAGTGGGAATAATCATCATGCAAGAATATCCAAAATAATATTAAAGTACAAAGAGAGCACTGTTTGGCACAGAGCAGGTGCTTAGTTTTCATTTGCAGGTAGTACTTTCACTGGAATTATTAGCAGTTATAATATATGATCAGACCCAAAGCTCACAAATCTCCACGTGCCTTAGTCAGCCCACTGTGCTTACAGCTGGTGGTCCTTTACTTAACCAGTCTCACAGCTGTCATTAACATTCAGACCAGTGACTCTTTCCCCATCGCTGCCACACAACAGTCACATCCTTCCCCCTGAAATCTTCCCTTTAAAGCTACCCCATTTCAGGGGAAAAATACCCACAAGCCACTTTGAGTTTCTCTGAGAATTTTTTCAGACCTTATCTTATCCCCCTTCTCAGCACTGTTTGATGGGTTTAACCACCTTCTCCTTCTAGAGACACGCTTGTCTCTCATCCAGCGTGCCACACTGTCAGGCCACATCGTCTCATCTTTCTGGTCACTCCTTTTCAGTCATCTTTGCCAGAGCATCTTCCTCTAGACGA